TAATAGTAATACTCACATTTAAGACAGGTATTGCAGAACGAGGTGCATTTTGTGCAAAAGGCACTTGAACTGTTCTGTGTGACCACACAACTGTTGTGATCCGGCGGACATGCGACTCCATCTGTGTGGCTGTGTATGTGGATGGATCGTACAAACTCAGGAAATGTGTGAGTCTATTTTTAAAATTTGTACTTTGTGACCCACTGAGTTTAAAACAGTAAGCATTGGAAAACAAATTAAGCTCATATGCAGAAGTATGAGGGGGAAAAAACAGAGTACAAAGGAACAAATACGAGAGAGAATGCCAGTGTAATGATGGGGAATGCTGACACCTGTGTGAGACTGCTCAAGCTGCCCAATTCTTGTGGGATGCATCCAGCAAAGTTGTTCCCCTCTAATCTTCTGCACAAGGCCGGATCCATGGGTAAGGAAAGGATGAAGGGGATAAGGATATTACAATAGCGATGGTGAGTCAAGGTGTGTTAGTACAATCCTGGAACAAGGAAGAGTTGCTACAACCTGGAATCCTAATGAGGCACGATATGGCATATGCCAGGGCAGTGAATTGGTAGCATGCAGGAAACAAAACATAACAACGCCATGCACATTATGATGTTTCGACATGTGTACAGTTATTCAGCTGACGGTAAAAAGTAGTTGTGCATACGGGTGTGGAGCAATTGGTGCAGTTCTACACACCCAAAGAAACAAACGTAGCTGATAAGCAATACTGACAGGTGTATGAGACCGCTCAAGCTGCCAATGGTTGGTGGAATGTCTGCAGATAACTTGTTCCAATCTAGATTTCTGAAGGGCCAATAGGTGGATTCCACATGCCGAGAAAAAAATGAAAGGGAGGTAATTTGATGGTGAATGACAGTGAGGCAAAAACAGCACTCCCACCATACTGTGTCACTTGTTAAGCCATTGCTGTTGTTTTAATGGAGGACATAATCTATACCTGGATCTCTCAAGTGAACAGTAGCCGTTGTTGAACTCTCAAGACTTGGGAATACAACTGCAGAAATAATATATGGCTCAGATCGTTTACAAAAGGACCTACCCCCGCATTCATGCATTAAACTTACAGACTTTTCGCCTGATTTGAGTCACAGGTTTTTGAATTGGCTCCAATCAGGGAGCGGGAATTCCCGTAATGCCTAATGTTTATTTCACCTTCCATAAGTGTGCTCTGATGGTTCATGGTTTGCGTGGACGGTGGTAGGCCATGGCTGACCAGAGGTGAAAGGCACGTATCTTGACATGTGGAAAAAATGAGATTACTAAAGGCAGATACTGACAAATATGCCAAGTTGCTCAGTCCACCAATCGTTGACGGAATCGACCCTGTCAAGCCATTCTGGGGCAGATATCTGAGGCAGAAAAAGATGATGGATTCCATGTGTAGACGTTTAAGAGAAGAAAAAAAGGGGAGAGAGGGATTTTGGTGAGAAACGGTTGTCCTTGTGCACTTGTCAGTAGAGAACATACTGAAGGTCAAGGAAGGGAAGTTCTTTGAAAATTAGCATTAACAATATTATATTGTATAGGAAATATGTGCTGAATGGATTGGAAATGAAACTATGTGACATTCATGTGTAGTAGTAAGCTAAAAGCACACTCAATTAACACAGGTGTGAAGCGATTGGTGGCGTTTTCAGTCCACCCTTAGCCGTTTTCTATCAATATCTCCTGGTCCCTGCTATGGCCTATGGCTAACATTGGAGATCTCAAGCGCCAAACATTAGTCCATGTTTCTCTGGCGTGTTTCATCTCATAACACATTACCGAACCAACCCTTTGAAAGTGGTTTGACATTTTGTGCCGCACCCTGGCCTGGCCTGGCCTTAAAACTTTCTCCAGACACCGTTTTCTGATCACGTATGTATGCTGAATGGGGGTTACTCACAAATATGTCAACTTGATCAAGTAGCTAATGGTCGATGGAATAGACCCGTAAAGGTTGTTCGACAACAGATCCCTGAAATTAGACGGAAGAATATGGTTGATACCGAGAGCTGGTAGTTGTGATCATATAAACACGAAGTATGAGGGCTGCTGGCAATTGGAGCTGGGGGGTCCTTTGATACAGCCACGTGGTATGTTGTGCTTCCCATCAGAAGCGAGGAAAGGAGGAAATACAGAAGGTGGGTCAGAATGGCAGTGACAAAGAAAGAAGGAGGTGATTTTCAGGGCGGGGAAAGTGAAGGCAAGCATGTTCAAGGGGTCACTCACATGCTCGTTATCATGCCTGTAGAATCACACACAATGTGGCTTGCGTTCTCGCAGGTGCCGCCAGCCACCCAGCCGTCAATCTTCAGGTTCCACGCATTTGTGCACTCCACAAGGAACGCGCTGGGGGTAGTGACGGCAGGAGGGATGGAGTGAAGTACGATAATTTTCCTACCAGGAGTAGTTGGCGGCGGGTCGACTTGTTTGGGTTTGGGGGTTGCTTCCTTGGTAATAGGGCATTGTTTCCCGAATGTACCAAAGTGATCTCCTTGGTGGTTCCTGGTAGTAGGCCGGAGGAAGTTGGGAGGTGAGGACATATCAGAGAGCAGCAATCGCTGTACTCTGAAGTGCCCTGCCAAGTGGGTCATACATGATTTGGGCCGAACTATAAAGGCAGCTTCAATAAATGGAATGGATTAATAGATGGAAGAAGGGAAAGAGAACGAAGGGGAAAGGGGGGGAGGGAAGTTATGGGTTGGGTTGGGGAGGGCCGAAGGGTGGGATTGCATAAATGGGCCAAGAAGTGATTCTGTGAATATATAGTTTTGCTGTTGATAATGTCCAGTGGGCTGACCCTTGTTTGCTATACATTGCAGAGAATTGGCTGGTGGAGCTCGTTGAGTCGCAGCTATTATGGTGAGTGCTGGAAGCAGATTGATCAGCAGCAGAAGATTGCGTTGGCCATTATCTACGGAACTCTCATTGCCTCGGTTTTGCTTTGGTTTCTAGCCTAAAATTATGCTGGCAACGAGGAACGGTATGCTTGCAGGGATAGCTTGCTAACCATCTCGGGAAAAAAGGCATGTTTGTATGGTGGTCAGCGCACCCATCCCATTCCAGTGTCCATTTCCAACAGTGCAAGCCAACATGTCCATGGAAACACGTAGGGAGGTGAGCATTTGGAGCTAAGTTAGAACATGCATGCTGCTATTAACCCATTTTCGCCTAAAGTGCATGTGAATGGTTTACGTGGCCCGCACCAAGCGTCGCACTGTTTTGGCTCGTATAACGCCTCTGTTCGCCCCGCTGGCCTAAATCCGCTAACGCATAGCGGGGTCGACTAATTCGAGGATGAAAACGTGGCGGAAGACTTTGGCGAAGGAAGAGTTGTGAAATATGCGAATGAGTTATTGAGTAATTGAATGAGAATTGGTTGATATTGGTGGATACAAGCAAGGTTGATATAGCATACAAGAGTGATTGTGGGAAAGCGGTTTGTGGGACTAGGAATTAGAAGGCAAAGAAAGTAGAGTGTTACGTGGCGGATGGAAAATCTAGGAAATCCACAAGGGATTGAATGAAGATAAGGTTGGGATTGGGTTGGGGGCACTATTTAGGGTAAACCACCCTTGAACAGTAAACCACCTCTTAACAGCCTCGCGACCAACTGGGTCAAAACCAGGGTGTTCTTTGGCGCAGCGGAATGCCCTTAACACAGCCCATAGGCGTTGCACTCGTCCCCCCCAGGTACCAACGTCCCCACAGGAGTTCAGAGAGTCGGCCCCCGCAGGGACCTCGATTTCACTGTGCTGCTAGCAGCGACTTCGTATCCACATTTCACTTCTCGCCACAGGCTGAAAATGTGGACCATCTGGGATTTTGAACCCTACACTCTGATCCCCACAGCTGGTTTGTCATCCGATGACTGAAAATGATTGCTTTTCATAGTGGAGAAGCTATCATATCCGCACACAGGCTGTCAAACGTAATCTTTCACCTGGGTCCAGCATAGTATGAAATGCATCATCAGAAAGTACAAAAAGAGTCTTTTGCAACCTCCCCACCTTTGCAACTCGCTCGCTTGTCTTTATGGTCTTGTTTGAGCCTATTAACGGGTTGGAAACCGAATGATGAAGAATAAGCGGTAACGTTGTGCTACCACCGAATGATCATCATCTTCATACTCTGCGGATGGACTGAAATGGATCTATCCCTCACCTTTGGGAGTCAGCAAGGGAAACGCAGTCGACTCGTGAGGCATGTCAGCAGGAACAGAGCGCCGAGCGGAAGGGATGAGCGCTCCATTGCCGCTACTGCATCCAATATAATTAACGTGCCTAGTAGAATATGTTTTGACAAGATTCCACGCCAACACTTAACCAGAACGTAAAAGTTACGATAACCTCTGGAGAATCACAGCTCTATCAGTGAGTGGAGAAGGTTGGGGGACGTACAGTTCAATCATGGGAGGTCTAACTCAAGAATGACAATGTGGTGAGCAGGAATCTAGGAACTGAAACGTTAGCAAAGAAATGAGTGGAGCTGTGGGGAGGACCTAGTATTTTCCCCCAAGAAAACAAGGGATTTCTTGATTTCGTCAATTCGATGAGTGGTGCACGCGAATTGAGCCGACGTGTTGCGATTTGTAACCAGGCACTACCACCCAGGTTCGCGACAACCCACCTCACCAACGAGGCTTGGGTGTGCACACAACGAACAAAGCGGACCAAGTGAGAAAAGCGTCACTTGTTGCTCATTGGCGCAGACGCAACGTTGACTCGATTGACGGAGGGGTGGAAATGCACAGAACAGCCACGATTGGCTAGAACAGAACATGCGAAATCTAGGTTAGCATACCAGACATAAAAAAAATATATATATATATATATATATAGAAAATTAGAATGCTCTGTGAGACCAAGCAAAGGATAGTACTTTTTACACCAAAGATGTCCCAATAATGGCAAGGGTTTGCACAAGCAATGACTTGTAATTATGCTACAATGAACAAGATGTACGCAAATCACAAGAGTTTCCATCTCGAGCCATTAATCCATCCGGCCTTTGAGTGTGCGCGTAATAATCTTGTCAAGCGTACTGCCAGGAAAGGAAGGAACCCAGGTGGAAGGGTGAGAAACAGGACGACTGGAGAGCATGTGCAGGTGATCATTGTGATATCAAAGCGGAAGAGAAACATCCTGTGCAATGCCCTGTGGTTCTCAGTTGACATGGTAAGTGCCTCCCATCCCATCCCTAATGTACCGTGCATCCACTCACATCACATGCCATCCACCCACTCACATGCCATCCACCCACTCACAAAACCCCCATCCACTTACATCACATCACACCCATCCATCCATACACTCACATGACATGAACAGTAGCCCCCCATCCACTGAGCGCGTCCCGATCCACAGCAGCGAGCAGCGCCTGCGAGATGGTTTCAAACAGCTCCTCCGGCTGCAGCCCCGGCTGCCAGTACGACTCGCACGCCCCAAACAGCGACTCGTCCGCCGTCCCCGCCACTCCAAACTCAGGGCACTCCTCACTGCGGGGTGGGGGGATGGGAGGGTGGGCATGGGGGTGGAATGGCAGGAAGAGGGGGAAAAGGGGGAGGGGGGTGTCAGTGAAGGCTGCAAGGTGGGAAAGGGGGGGGGGAGTTGACTTGTGAGTGGGTCTGACAGGACCTTCCAGCCCCGGCTGCCCTGCTAGCCAGTACGACTCGCATGCGCCGAACAGCGACTCCTCCGCCGTCCCTGCCACTCCAAACTCCAAACAATCCACTTTGTGGGGTGGAGCGGCGGTGGGAAGGGGGTGGAGGGTCAAGGGAGGGGGGAAGGAGGGAGAGGGGAGCCAGGAGCAGGGTTGGGGAGGGGGGTGGGGAAGGGGGGGTGGAGGGCGGAGAGGAAGGGGTTGGTGGGTGGTAGGAAGGCGGTGGAGTAAGGACGGAGGGTGGGGGAGAGGAGGAAGAGAGGCTGTTTGTCCAAGCGTCCTCGCTGTGCAATGGAGGGAGGGGGGAAGACCGGGCTTGGTGAAAGAAGATAAATGGTGGCAGGGAGGGCGGGAAGGTGGATTGGCAGCGACTCCAACGAGGCACATCGCTGGCTGATAAGATTGAGAGTGAGGTCAGTGGCACCGCACTCACTACGCGTCGATGCGGTCAAGTAAAGGAAGGCGGAATGGGGGACGGAAGCAGCAGGGAAGGCACTGAAAGGGGAGATTGCAGAAGGGAAGGTACTGAACTGAAAGAGAGCAGCAGCACTTACTGTGCGCCGATAAGGTCGGCGGCACAGAAGACAGGGAGATGGAAAAGGGGACAGAAGAAGCAGAGAACGCACGAAAAGGAGGGACAGCCAAGAGCGGCACTCACTATGCACCGATGAGGTCAGTGGCGCAGATGAAGGGCGTGCCATCATCCTCCAGACCTGCAATCACAGGCTCGATGAAGTACGGCCCGAACCTGATGGCCAGGGACGGGAGAGGCGAATGATACGAAGGGATAATATGAGACAGGAGCGGGGGAGAGAAACGTTTGGGAAAGACATGTATGGGAGAGAGAAAGGTTTGGGAAAGAAACAGGCACGGGAGGAAGAGCAATCCACTACTCATGATCAATTCATTCAAGTGATATTCATTCAAGTGATATTCATTCAAGTGACATTCATTCAAGTGATATTCATTCAAGTGATATTCATTCAAGTGATATTCATTCAAGTGATATTCTCGCTGCCTCACACTCGCTTGCAGCCGGCAGTCAGCACGCTTGGTGCTCTGATGCCGACTTTATGCGAATGGTACTCTTAACTAAGTAATTGCGTTTTGACGCAATTGCTTTTGAGGCGCCTAAAAAGTGACGGCTGGTTGATAATTAAACAAAGAGGCGAAGGCGCAGAGCCATCGCACAGCTAGCGCACAAAAATTGTCTGATGCAAATACTGGCCCCACCTGCGCTCGTAGAGGATGGAGCTGACGAGGTGGGCGAAGGTGGCGGGCGGCATGACTCGGTCCTCCCTCAGGGCGAACAGCTTGTGGCGAAACTCCAGACGCTGCTTGCTGTGGTGGTGGGCGCATAGGAAGGGGGATGAAGGGAGGCAGAAGGTTGGGATTCGGGGTAAGGGGCAATAAGAAGTGCAGAACAGGTGAAGGAAAATACTTTTCCAAGCACACAGAGTTGAATAAAGTTCGAGATTGGCCCTCGCCTCTTACTTCATCCCTCGCTTCTTACTTCTTACAACACTCACAGCGTCTGCACGTCTGTGCCCACTGCCCACTGCCCACTGCTCACTGCCCACTGCCCACTGCCCACTGCCCACTGCCCACTGCCCAGCACCGCGAGCCCGAGGAAGAGTCGATCATGAATCTGGAAGGCGCGGTTGAAGACCGTCGCCAGAGCCAGCCGGTGGAAAGTGAAGCACATGGGGATATGTACATCCGGATCCGCCGCTACGCACGCGCCACTCACAGAAAGATTCCGAGCCCGGCGAGCCCGAGAAAGATTCGGGGGTGGATATGAAAGTGCCCGACCAGGCTCCCAGAAAGATTCGGTGCCGAGCTGGCGCCCGGATGTCCAGTGGCAGGGTGTGCAGTGGCAGGGTGTGCAGTGGCAGGGTGTGCAGTGGCAGGGTGTGCAGTGGCAGGGTGTGCAGTGGCAGGGTGTGCAGCTGCACTGCACTGAAAGTGCAGTGCCCATGTCCATCCCTTCCCCCACGTTGCCCACCCGCACCTCCCATCCCCACTGCGCGGTTGAGTCCGTCGCCAACAGGATCTGCAGCTGCACTGCACTCGCACCACCCATGGCCCTCCCCAAACGTTACCCATCTACATCTCCCACCCGCACCCCCCACCCGCACCCCCCACCCGCACCCCCCACCTGCACCCCCCATCTGCACCCCCCATCTGCACCCCCCACCTGCACCCTCCACTCGCACCCCCCATCTGCACCCCCCACCCGCACCTCCCATCGGCATGTCACCCTGCGCACCGCCCATACCCCATCCCCACCTCCCATCGTACCACCACCCCCGCGCGCCACTCACAGCGTCTGCACGTCGGTACCGAGGCCAGCGAGGCCGAGGAAGAGGCGCGGGTGCATCTGGAAGACGCGGTTGAAGTCCGTCGCCAGCGTCTGCAGCTGCACGCCGAAGCGCCGGTCGCACGCGATCGCCACGCACTTGTCGCCCTTCATCGCCACCACCGCGCCGCCGTTGTACGACGTGATCTGACGACCAGGGGTGGGGGGGGGCGACGGCGGGGGTTGAGAGGGGTGCGGAGAAAAAGGGGGGTGGGTGGGAGGATGGGGAGGGGGGGGGGAAGGGGAGAGTGGGAAAGTGGGGAAGGAGGTTGTGAGGGGGATGCGGAGAGAGCGGCGTGGTGTGGGGGAAGGGGGGGAGCGACGCAAGGGGGTGTTAACGGGGCGCATAGGGGGAATTGTGAAGGGGCAGTGGAGAGGGGGGCGTTTTGAAGTGAATGGCGATGGCGATCGCTTTTGAGTCAACTCAAAAGCAGACTCGGCTATCGACCGGAAAGCGCGCGAAGAGGAACCTATGCGGCCGCTGCGGAGAGGGGGGCCGCTCGGCTATGCCGACCGTCTATGCGGCCGCTGCGGAATCTGCCGTCACTGCCGTCACTACGGGGAGTATCGTGTTTCCCTTTTCCCCTGTACAACGTGATCTCAAGGGGAACGCGGAAAGAGAAGGGGGAAAGTTGTGCCGCCAGGTCTACGCGAAGCGACGGCCTCTGATTGGACGCGGCGATCGACGGCTCTGATGGACGGCTTCTTATTGCGCTAAATTTTAACCAGCGATCGAAATCTGGAAATTGCATCGGTTATGAGATGAGCCGGGAGGTACCAATCCGTGCCGTTGAGAGTTACTGGACGGTGAGAAATTCACTCAGAAAGCGCACACGGCAGGAATCGTGAAGGAGAGTATCACTCACCGACATGGCGAATCGATCTTTCTGCGTATAGCGCGGACAGGCAAGTTAGGCTTTCAGCTTACGACGCGACCAGGCGAATTGACTTTTTGTAGCGCGCAACTATTCGAATCAAACTATACGCCAAGCACTGCGGGACAGGATTCTTAGATCGACGGGCGGAGCGCGAATATAAGTCGCAGCCAAGCTGGGTCGGGAGAGCAGCAGCTTAGGATCTGAGTTGGCCTAACAGTGACGACTAGAAAGGTGAATGGAAGATCCGAGTGCTTTTATTGCGTAACCCGTTTGGCGGAAAATTGACGTTGTGCAATTGAGTGAGCTAACGAGGATTGCACTTTCTAGGCAAGAACACAATGAGCTAAGGGATGAGCGAACAATATATATCTAAGCCTAGCGTGGTAAGGGCGTGTGTAAGGGCGTGCGTATATAATTTCTCGCTATTCCTTACTGCGACCATCAACGTCGAGTACAGCAGCAGCCGTTGTTCGCCCATTTCTGCTAACAGGGCTTCGCCAACTTCGCGCGCACTGTTTCACCAAACCTCGCACTGCTAGAGCAGCCGAGTCGGCCTACGCTTCGGGACTAGCCCGAACCTTGCGCCAGCGTAGCACCAGCTAGCTCGCACGCACCGCGTTACCGTTTTGCATTTTTCGCGTACAAGCATTCGCTCATGCCTTCGCTCATACGTTGCACGCATTGAACATTTTAGTGCAATCCTCGCCACCTCGATTCATTGCACCCGTAACACTTGGTATTATAGCCACTTTCTTTTCGGACCACACATTTCCGCACCCCAGGAAATCAACTTTTGATTTTTCACTCAAAGGGACTCACGCCCCTTAGCACCTAGGAGCTGCCGTCCTCGCGTTCTCTCGTAAACGCGTGCAGCCACGACTGTGCCTAGACTAAGCTGAGTCGACGCCCTTCGTTATGGCTGAACATATCGACGTCGCCACACTCACGCAGGACCACTTGAACGAATTGTTGCGCCAGCTGCAATAATACTCGGAAGAAAACGCAACGCTTATGGCAGAACGCACATCCCTGCAGAATGACGTCGCACGAGCACAACAAGCGCAATCACAAGCACCTCGCACTCCGGTACAACCTGCACCACAAGCATCGCAGCATGGAAGTGTGGGGCAACCCGCGAGCGCGGCCGGTGATGGCGTCGTCCGCCACGACGGAGACGACGACCACCGCACGACACACCCGGAAGCGACAAATGCGGCCATGAGTCAACCTTGCGTCACGATTTCGCCACCGACCAACGATTCGGCACTACCGTCACCGATGCCGCTGAAACCGCAGTGTCCGCCATGCTTTGATCCGAGTCAACGGGGTGGTCCTACCGTTCAGGTGTGGTTGTTCACGATGAACGTATTTTTCGACGCCAACTACGTCTCAAAGGATACGACGAAGATTCGCAGCGCCGTGTCGCTGCTGCGAGGACCCGCCATGGACTGGTGGCGCGTCATCGTCACGAAGCCGATGGACTACGCGACTCTACCTACACGGGAAGGACAAACCGGACCCTGGGCGCCGTCGTATTTCGTGGAGGTGCCCCAATATCGCACGTGGGACGCGTGGTGCGCAGGTCTGCGCACTCGGTTTGAGCCAATTGCGGCTTCGATCGCGGCGCCTCAGAAGCTCCGCACTTAGCGCCAACTCGGTTCCGTCCAAGACTACACCAGCGGGTTTCTGGCGTTGTGCGAGCAGGTGGGCTACATACATGAATATGAGCGTATCGCCTGCTACATCGGCGGCCTGAAGCATGACATCGCTCAGGAAATCTAGCTCCGCGGCGTCACCGATTTTCAGGAGATTCTCGCCATGGCGGAGAAGCTCGACTTTTTCCGCCGACCGAGACCGGGGACCTACGGAAGCAACATCAACTGGGGACATCGATCTCGTGGGACGAACGAGGGCGCTACAATACATGCCGTCGCCGCGAATGCCGTTGCCGCACCATTCAAAGGGCGCTGCTTCGCGCGCAATCGGCAGGGACACCGCAAAAGCGAATGCCCGGAAAACGCTAAGGGAAAGGGGGAAGCTGAGCAGCAGAAACTGACCAAGCAGCAGGGTAACGCTGGGAGCTAGTAGCAGACGGGCCCTCTACTGACAGGTCACGCCGCTCGCCCGACCCAACTGACCCTCACCGAGTGATTGTGCCGGTTCACGCAATCGACCACACCCAGCCAAATAAGGAGGGTACTACGGTGCACAGCCCCATACTGCTTAGTGGGAAAATTGGGACAGACTTAGTTAAACTATTCGTAGACGAGGAGCCAGCCACAGCCGGATCAACACCGCCACAACACGAAAACTGAGACTGCCACTGGACAGAGGTTTACCTAAGATCGACGCAAGACTGGTCGACGGCACGCCATTGGCGATACGGGAACGCGTAGACCGGGTTCGGATTCGCTTCGGGGGTAACTTCACGTTTAGCCAGGAAATGCTCGCGACAACCCTCGACAGAACCGACATTTTACTAGGCCGTGAGTGGCTGCGACGACACAATCTGCAAGTCGACTCAAGGACGGGTGACTGCACCGTGCGAGTGAATGGTAACAACATCGCCTTACCTTGCTGGGGCTCGCCTGAGTCTTCGTCGGTGCGTGTCAACGCAATCACAATGAAATGAGCCATAGCGGCAGGAGTTGACGTGTACGCGGTCGACATCCGGAAAGCCGAGGCAGCAGACAAAGGGGGGGATTTACGGAAACTGCTAGTCTACGTACCGGATGACCTGGCAGCGCTACTGAAGCAGTACAGTGGGATTTTCCCGGACGATCTGCCAACAGGACTGCCACCTCAGTGACCGCACGACCACAGGATAGAAATAGAACCAGGGGCACAGCCTACAATACAGCGACAGTTCCGACTGACCCAACCCGAATTGGACGAACTGATGAAGCAGCTGGATTACCTGCTCGAGAAGGTGTTTATTCGCCCGAGTTCGTCACCCTTCACAGCACCGATACTGTTCACACCGAAGAAGGATGGAGGTTTTCGTATGTGCATCGACTACCGCGCACTGAACAAGGTTACCATGAAGTCCCGTTACCCCATCCCGCGAGCCGATGAACTGATCGACCAACTGGGTATAGCCCGTGTTTTCTCGAAAATCGACCTTCGAGGAGGCTACCACCAAATCCGAGTCAACCCACCCGACTGCCCGAAAACAGCCTTCCGAACACACTACGGATCCTACAAATACACTGTCATGCCCTTCGGACTGACCACGCCCCCGCCACTTTTCAAATGACCATGAACGAAGTTTTGCGCCGGCTTTTAGACAAGTGCGTCATCGTGTACCTAGATGACGTACTGATTTACAGATAGAGCACAGCACCTACAGAACATTGAAGCAGTTTTTAAAATACTGAGTGAAAACCGCCTAATGACGAAAGCATCTAATTGTGAGTTTTTACAGGATAGACTGGAGTTTTTGGGACACTTTTTTTTCAGTTGAAGGAGTGGAAATAGACCCAAAGAAGATCGCGACGATTCAAGCATGGCACGCGCCGACAAACTTGACCGAGTTGCAGAGATTATTGGGGTTTGTTAACTACGTGCGCCAGTCCGTCCCCGACATGGCAAAGTTAACTGCTCCATTGACCGACCTGCTAAGGAAGGGGGTTGAGTACATGTGGGGGGAGAAAGAGCAAGCTGCCTTCTCGGCCCCCAAACAAATTTTGTGCTCGCCGCCCGTGCTTCACATCGCAGATCCGCACCGTCCGTTCGAACTCGCCATCGACGCAAGCGACATCGCCGTGGGAGCAGCACTGCTACAGGACTTCGGAAACGGCCTTCAACCAATCGCATACGAGTCCCGCAAGCTTCACCCGCCCGAACGCAACTACCCGATACACGACCGCGAAATGTTGGCGATCGTGCACGCGTTCAAAGTGTGGCGATGCTACCTCACCGGAGCAGACCTGACAGTACGGACATACCACCGATCCCTACAGTACCTCCGTGCCCAACCGAATCTCAACCCGCGACAAATCCGCTGGTTGGACTATCTGGAGTCCAACTTCCACTATACTGTCACGTACAAAAAAGGCTCATAAAAAATCGCCGACGCACTCATACGTCCCACCGCCCAACTCCACGCCATCCGACTCGCCCAAACCAACCCATTGTTATCATGCCTATTCACCCACGGATACAGTACCGACCCATTTTTCACGACCGGAAATTCACAGCAACTGGCAGAAGCCAAAGGGGTCTATTACGTAAAGACAGGCACCAACCGCATTTGGGTACCCGCGTACTCACTACTGAGGGAACTGTTACTGTAGGAGGCACACGACGGGATTGCCTCGGGTCACTTCGGGGTAGAAAAAACGCGACAGCAACGGTACTACTACTGGCAGGAGCTGTTGACCGACGTACAGCACCACGTGGGCTCATGTCCTACGTGTCAGGTGATGAAGAGCTCGCGAAAAAGAAAGGCGGGTCAGTTGCAGCCGATTCCACCGCCCGAGCGCGCCTGGCAGCAGGTTACCATGAATTTCGTCACAGGGTTATTTTCGAACCCTGGGGGTAACGACGCGGCGTGGGGGCTATTTTCGTCGTTGACAGGCTGACGAAAATGGCTCACTTCGCTGCGTGCAGGAAATCGATCAGAAACCGCTCGTCTGTTCATCGCAGCCGTCGTTCGACTACACGGGATACCAGCCGCAATCATCAGCGACCGCGATACGAAGTTCACCAGCAACTTCTGGAAGAACCTCTGGGAGCAGTTCGGAACCAAGCTACAGTTCAGTTCATCGTACCACCTCGAGACCGACGGTCAAACAGAGCGGACCAATCAGACGATGGAGCAATTGATTTGGGCCGCGTGTGACGACCCGACAACTTGGGAGCAGCAGCTGCCGCTGATCGAGTTTGCCTACAACAATGCCACGTCAGCGACGGCGCAACAGTTCCCGTTTTACCAGAACTACGGGCAAAACCCAACAGTGCCATGACGCCGAGTCCGGACAACCCAACGCCAC